TATTTCAAGGAAAGATCAATTGCTTATATGTGCAATGTATCCACCAGATGTTTCATACTATAAAACTGGGATTTGGAGCTGAATGAAAACCTAGAATTTGGGTTGTGCCAATATCTCAACAAGTCTAGTTAGATAAGAAAACTTGCCAGGAGGACACACCAACAGGGATTCCTAACACTTCAGTATTTGCAATGTCTTAGTTCATCTATATATGTATTTGTTTACTTTATTTGGAGAAAATAAGAAGAATTATTTGAAGGAAATTATATAACAATATTTTAGTAGTATACACTTTACAAATTACAGTAAAACAATTACTACATTAGAGTACTTAAGTGAAAATCTTTTAACTAAATATTCTTTAGGAATCCACATAAGGATCTTTGTACACTTTGTAGCAATTGATCTTTGTACACTTTGTAGCAATTAGTACATCCTTAGAAGTGTACGGTCAATGCCAACATATTCATCTATAAATTTCTCTCCAACTCAAAACAGTATATATTTTCCTTATAGTGTAGTGCGGGTGTCAGAACCCTAGATCTACCACATTAGCAGTGTTATCTTGGTCAAGTTCATGAACTTCTTGCAGATTGCTTCCTCATCTGTGGAGTGGTAGAATATATAAGAGTGGAAGGAGATGGACTTTGGAGTCTGAGAGTTAGCCTCAGACTATATCGAGAGCTTTCTTGAGGTTGTATAACAAACACATTCTATTTACTTGAACTATATGCTTAGTTGAGGGCATTAAAATTGTTTTGGCAGAGATTTTACTAAGATTATGTGTTTGATTGAGGAGGCACTGGTGGGTTGATGAGATGAACTGATAAGATTTTGGAGCAGTAGAAGTGGGGCATGTGTTGTTTGACATCTCTCAATTTGTTTTCTCAAACACTGAAAATAAAACTGACCAAGCAGAGGCTGTCAGTCAGGATATGTTCGGTTATACTGTGATAATAAACTACCCCCAAATCTCAGTGGCTTACATTCCTAAATGGACATGTTTTGCATGTCCATTGCAGTTCAGCTGTGGCCCTGTCCATGTCACCTTCACTTTGAGAGTGAAATAATGAAATAGTCTGAGTATAGTTGCTCTTCTGGCAGATGGACAAGAGAGATGTGGTAAACTTCACTGACACTCAGCCTTCCGCTCGGAAGTGACACATGCCACTTATATTCCATTACCCAAAGCCAATCTCAGGGCCACTCCTGAGTTCAACAGAACAGGGATGTAATATCTTCCTGCAGGAAGGAGTATTGCAGGTCACATGACAAAGTTATAAGTTGGTGGGGTGAGAAGTATAATTCCTTGACGGGAAGGAGAGAAATAATAATAATAGTAATACACCTCATTATCTGTTGATAGTAACTACCAGTAAAATTATTGTGAAGATAAAATGAGGAGGTAAATTCTTTAAAAGCTAAGTTTTCATTTTCAGTGTAATATGTATTGAGAATAAAAACAGAGGGGGCTGTATTTCCTTAGAGTTTAGGTCCAAAGCAAATGAGATCTGAATGGATAATGTACAGCAATCAACTGAAGATATTAAGATAAAGCGTTGGATATTTACTGCTGGAAGGGAGCACATCACTGACACATGTGTAAATAACCTAGCATATTACACATTTATTTAATTTAAACAATGCTAATGTTTAGTCTTTGCACCCTTTTTCACTTCAACACTAGAGATTTACTAAAATAGGATGTACTTCTAAGCCTAGAATGATTTTACTCCAATGAAGAGTAAGTGGCATTAGTTACAGGTAATACAGAGAAGGTTTTTTTTTTTTTTTAATATTTGATGAATTGTAAGTGAACATCTATATTACTGTGTGTTTCTACCATAATTCAGAAGTAAGCTGAATCCTTACGCTTGGTAAGCACACAGGTGTGTCAGGACACAGTTGGAGAGTTAGACTTTGATTTTTAGTTTCGCTAGCAAATACGTTCATGCTTTGGCTAGTTTTCTATAATTTTCAGTTTTCTCATTTACAAAAGAAAGGCAGTAGGTTATTTGATCTCTTAAGTTTCACTTCTAAAATTAGATAGTTATGATCCCCCTGACCCCTAAAAACATATATGCGAAGGGTGAGTCACCCACTCATGGTTTGATGATCACAAAATTTTTTAAAATGTTCTTGGAATAAGATGTCTGAGTTCTTTTGATTTAAATGAACACAGCATGGGTGTATACAGTATATTTTCCTATTTTCTTCAGACCTTTCTTCTCTCATCTTTCTTAATTCTTCTTTTGTACCCATGCATTTTTATACATTTTAGCAAATGATTTTAACATTTCCTGTAATTTTTTGTCATTTAATTTTTATTTTTGAATGTGGTAGTTTAGGGTCAACACATCTGGCTGTGCAGATTGTGTACTGCACAAATCTAGGGGTCACCACTCACATTTTTAGTCCATAATCTATATGGGTTTTAATGACCATTGTGGGGATGGTGAATATTTATTTTATTATTTTAATATTGCATATTATATTTATTACACTATATTCTTAATTTTTGAGTATTATTATGTGAGGACAGCTCATATGATGAAGGCATTAGTCTTATTGAAGTAACATTTCTGTAATGCTTTTTCCTCCCTCTTACTACTTTTTTATGCATTTATAATAATTTTAAACTTTTTTTAATTGAACTTTCTGTCATCTAATTTTTTTTTT